ATCATTTTAAAGGCCAATGACAATGTTACAAACTTAAGAAAGATTTCTAATATATCCATTCCCATGCAAAATTAGGTTGGAAATTATGCTTTATGCAGTAAAAAGTGGGGAATATATCTTCAAACAACAAAGCAAGCAAGTTAAATTACATAAATTTTTGAATAGAAAAGATTTCAATTAATTTATATGTAATGCACTTTTCTGTCCTCCTTTGTTTACAAAGTTGCTTTGTTGTGTATTATAGCTATTTCATTTTACTGAAAAACTGTTTTTCAGATGATTTTACTGTTTGCAGAACAAGCAGATAATTGTTTAGACTTCACAGGTGTAATCTAAACATCTTTCAAAACCAATTTTTTTAAAATAAATGTATTTATAATCATTCTTATCTCAGATATGTTGAGGTAAACAATCATTCTTCAATAGCAAGTGAACGCATAGTGATGGTTGTTTTTTTTTTTATTTGCTCACAGTTTAATATCAAATGTATCATGTACAGAATGCATGTTTGAGCATAAAAAATGCACAAAATTTCAAAGTAGGAATTAATTTTAGAAATTTTAATATTTCATTTTTTAATCATTTAATTGTTTTCATTAAATATACAGTTTTCTTTCAATAATTCAATGTTTTTGTCAACTTCCTTTTTCTCCCATAAAGTATCATTGTATCTATGATGTAACTTATTTCCTCTGTAATTAGTGCTTTAACATTACTCTTCATATGAATTACATATTTAAGTTCACTTATATAGCATTTCCTAAACATTTGTCATCCATGCCCCCTTTTAAAAATATTTCTTCTTGTGTGCCCCCCTCTTTTTTTTTAAATGAGTGAATGTGTGAGTTAAGTGACAAGATGTAATACATGGATATGCATTAAAATACTATATGTTGTACTAATTACTTATTTTCATTAGTGAAAAATATAGTAAAACACTTAATTTTGTAATATATTACTCTACCTTAATCACCCCCCCCCCCATAGAGATCATATATGCCCCCCTGTGGAGGCACGCCCTACACTTTGGGAAACGTTGCACTAATAAATATTTCTGATCTTTTGAAAATATGTTTTCTCTCCTTTTAATACACAGCAAAAGGTTTAACATTAGCAAAGTAAAACATTAAATGATCAGCAAATGGCAGAAAAGAAGAGAATAACAGGTATGGAAACAAAATAAAGATGGTAAAGTTATAAATATTTTAAAGACATTTAATATTGCATTAATTCCATATTTTCTTCATCACAATTACCTTATTCTTGGGTCCTACTTTTTGATTCTTTATTATTCTTGTATTGATATAGCTTCCTTCTACCGTTATAAAGCCATTGTCAAACAATATATACATTAATATTTAGGTACGCATTAGCTCTTCTAGTAGGGCAAATAAGTATATCAGGCCAACACGTCCTATTCATATTGGTGTGAAACCTAAAACAAATTAAACAAAATACATCCCTAACATAAACAAACTTACACATCAAAGTTCTTTACATTTTCGTGACTAATAAGAAGGGTCTGAAACACTAAAACCTCAATTCTAAAGATTACCATATCTAATACATGACTCTCAAAAAATGACATTTGAAAATAACCAGTATTAATATTGCACTACTGGTCATTTGCAAAAAATAAAAAAGTCACAAAACTGCATATAAACTTTATGTACCACTTGTGGAAACAAATTAAGAAGTTATTCATAAATTGAAAACCCAGAAAACCATTTCTGTTATAAGACAAATAAAATGGCAAAGTTTGAAAAGACTATTCTACAGATAAAATGGGAGTTAGGATTAACATGCAAGGTAATAAAGAAGTAATTGAAAGCAAGGCATTCTCCTTGTGTTATAATACAGCACACTTTTCTAATTTTAACAACAAATTGTAAAAAGAATGCCAATGTTATTAAGTAGTGCAAAACACTTAACACCTTATATTTTATAAGTGGTGGAAAATTACAAAAGTATGCTATTATAATGTAGAGATTACATTGTTTTTAATTATCACATAGTATTACATTTAATAATACTGAGGTTTGAGTATTTCTGACCTCTTGTTTAGTCACAGAAACATCACCAACCCAAATGTGCAAGTTTATATTTTTGTTAGGGATGCATTACTTCTTGAAACACTGAAGGAAATTGTTTTTGCAACGACTGTTGCAAAAATCTGAAAAGGGCATGTACTATTTATCTGTTAGCATATGTTTAACCCCTCTCTCTTGAAATACTTAAAACATAAATATGATTTTTACACTTTATGTTTAAATAAACAGCCATTATTGAAATTTATATTTAAATATCAACATGAAATTTTTTTTCTGATTTTACTGAATTGTCACATTTAATTAAAAGATGTCTAACACTTACCAAAAATAAAATCTAAGTATGTTAATCATTTTTTTAACCACATACAATCACTTACAATAAAAGTTTCTCATTAAATGCAAAAAAAATTTTGCATATAAAATATTTAAGTTAGTGCTCAAAACATAACCGTATTGCACGTACACTGCAGCGCCAACCAGGATATGTGTGTGAAATCCCATTTTATGATATGTTGCATTAAGTTATTTTTTTTTTTTTTTGCAAATCAGGGTCTAGCACTTTGCACAGTTTTTGAGAAAAACTGTTACTTTCCTAAAAAGTAAAATGTGATTTTAAATTTTTATTTTCCAAACATATGGATGTGCAAGGACAGCCTTAAAGGACCAAATGATCACTTATTGTTCGTAGGTTATTTCAATATGAAAACATAGGAATAAAATTATACTGGTACCCAAAGAATCACATTCTGATAAGTGACTCCCAAAGTTTCTTTGGCATCCCACATCTGAATTTAAGGATGCAAATGCATTCAAAAACCATAGTCATTGGGGATGTGTTAATATGACATGTTTAAATTCAGAAAACTTATCCTTAGTTTTCAAATCATAAAAAAAATTAAGTTAATGAGCTAATTAGCATTTTTGAAACTACAAGAAAAATAACAGAGATGTCACATATGGTAAAGAGTGACTGAAGGGAAGAGGTGGAATAAAAATATGTACTTCTACCATATCACACATCTTATCAAAACCAATAAATTTCTATATGATTCAGAAAGCTAACACATTAATAACAAATTAAATTTATCTATTTATAAGTCCTCTCTTTATAATAGATTAAATTTTCAACTTAGTCTTACCATGTTCAATTTGTTTATGTTCATTCTGACCAAGAGTTATTCCTACAGCCTTGTCCACCATGGAGCCTGTCTTACCACTTATGACACGAGCTGCATTTCTATTTATAGTCCATGGATTTACTTTAGGAGGTGGGGCATCAATGACATCTCTTTTCTTAATTAACAGTTCACTTTCTTCCTTCTTTTCACTATTATTAGAATCCATTTCTAAAACCTTACTTGAACAAGTTTCTATACGTGTCTCAGTTTCACAACACACTGTCATATCACTTGTAACATCTGCCTCCATATTGTTGGATAGTCCCACGTGGTCCCCATTGCTTAATTTGGAAATGTTTGGCCTTGATTCAGGTTTTGCATTTACTAGACTTACGGTTCTGTTATCACCTATCAAATTGCTGTTTTCTTCTATGTTATTTTTCTTTTCCCTGGATTCGTTAAGTTTTATACATGCTACAGCTTGAGCATACGTTCCACTTTCTTTCTGTCCCTTTGCGTCAGTAGGCCTACTTCCATCTGAATGGACTTCGTTTGTCACAAGTTTGGCCGCCATAATGCCAAAGCAGGCCTATTCTTCACTACTTTGAGATATCAAAATTATTATATTAGCTCACCACAACAATATTATACACAAAATAAGTTGAAGATGTAATTATATTCTACTAACGTGAAAAGACACGGCAGATATATATATAAATATATATAAACGAATTTGTCAAGTATTTACTTTCAAGCTCAGCCCTCACTCAGCCCTTTAACCTTCTCAGTAAACTGAACTTGCAACCTCATGTTAAACGACGGCATGGTGGGGCTCATGAGTGTTTGTATTTCATTTATTTTGTTTTATACTTCATCAGAATACAAAAATTACGATATATAAAGGTTTCAATCTGAACAAAACAACTAGTGTCGCAACTGCTATAAAATGAGTTTTCTATAAAATAGTAAAAACTGTTAGTAAAAGATGTTGGACAATTGTTTTTCTTTCTGCTTTCAAGAACAGAAAACACGAGCACCCCTGTTACTGCAAAATAGAATCGCTTACGCAAGTTTCATGGCGAGGATAGCGTATTTTTTCAGGGACAGTAAATAACGAATGAAAAACGAAAGAATTCAGATCTATTGTAAGATAAAAGTCACATACACAAAAAAATGGGTACAAGAATGAAAGCCAAAAACTCCAGAAATGGCGTACATCAACTTCTTTCGGTTAATATATATACGTGTATATGTGTGTGTTAATATTCTAAAGCTGACAGAAAAAATTGATCCAGAAAATTTACAATATAGTAAAAATGGAGAATGCGTACAATAACATACAACAATAAATATTGGATAAAACTCTTACTAAAAAGAAAGAAAAGAAGCAGACAAATATCATTCCCAAGTTCAGCGAGAAAGTTTACAGACTCACACGCAAAAATCCGACGTTCGATTCCGCAAAGACGCATAGCGTGCGAATAGTTCATTGTGTAGATCTGCATTTAGAAAACAACAGCAAAGTACCATTGCATCGTTTGTCATATAATGTTGATATTGATCGATAAAACAACTGCTCGCCCTTT